GTACACGAGATATCAGTACACCTTCCCGACGCATAGAGAATAATCACAAGCTAGCTGTGCCTCTAAATAGCTCTGAAGTAGGACCACTATTGTCTCTTTCCGGCAATTGAGTTGAATGGTATCTTTGTCGCACTCCGCTGGATCAAAAAGTTCATCTGGATAGTTTCCCATGACTACTCCATTACCACAGCCTCAATAACAATAGTATATGGCAGAAAAAGAGAAATACTGTCCTCGGAACTTGGCTGCTTTTAGAAAACGATCACATAAGATACCGGTTCGACAACAAGCAGAATTGGCACATACAGTCGTAAATCTTTTATACGTCTGTTGTACAACATCACATATATCAGGTTATTGGCAGTGTGTCGATTTTGCAAACGTTGGCTTGAGCCGCTGCGGACTGAAGTTCGAAAATCTGTTGATCCCGTCGTCGTCACCGCTCCCCGTCATGGAAAGAGTGCATTACAATGTTTTGTTGAAATTTCTTACCATTTGTGGTATAATTTTAGAATAGGACAGTACCTCCTCATATTTTGCCTCGTTTTCATCCTCCATCTGACTTGCTGTCCTTGTGGATGCGCCAGTGGCGGAGGTCGACGCTCGTTCAGTCTTCTCTCGGAATATATGTTCAGCAGTCCGTTCGGACACCAACCCTCGGGAACTACTTCATAACCTTAATCCAACCCACCTAACGGATTCGGATAAGTGTAGCTCTTTGGGAAGTTTCGATCACGGACGAATATCATTGATGAGTTGAGGACATCACAACTTCTTAACCTACCAGAGTGCTCTCCTGCATTACCTCCAGGCTTTCAGTACAGTATGGGACTTGTAGGCATTAAGATTGAGTAAACCTACGCCAATCTGCAACATTACCCATATTACTCATATTATTTGTGAATGTTCTCATTAATATACTTATATTTCTTCTGGTTTTGGTAACAAAGGCAAGTTGTGATGTCATAACGATCGTATGATCGATCAACTAAGAGGTCAGTAGCAATAATTTGTATGAATGCCTTTCGCAATCACTGCGTGATGTCTCTGACAGATGACAGGTTGGTTGTCAGACAACAAGGCCGGAAGTCCAGTCAGTACGTCCGGTGGCGATCAGTATGGCAGTGGGAAAAATCCCTCAACTGGGTTAATGGCCGTGGTCGAATCGATTCACGGCTGGCCGATGACGCTAATGTCTGAAACGCGGCGGCTGTAGGCACCTTGAAAAATCGCGTAATAAACCTGTGAGAAACTGACCAGTACTTATTTATTTCACAGTCGTCGTGAGGGCCGAAAAAGTGTCATCGAAAAACACACCGACAACATACTAAAGTCGGCTTCGCTTGGGAAAAGTAAAAGTTCCGTCACCAGTTTGGTGGAAATTTCACAGCATCAAAAACTTAGCGACGGTAGAATAATGTGCTCAGGGATGACGCCTCCGTAGTTGTCACAATAACCTTCACTGCAGCTTTTGCTGTGCTTCCCCACGACTGCTTTCAGCAAATTTTAGAAGTTATAGCGATTTGTAGTGAAATGATAATCACTGTCATCGTCATCATCTCATTCTCAGCTTCATCACCATGATCAGCATTATAGTAATAATTCCTTTAATCATAATCATTCTCTTCCTCCTTCTTCTCATCATCGCCACCACTGAAATGATCCTCCTTACGATTCATCAACATCATGATTATCAGCGTCATCATCGTAATGATTATTGTGACTATAATCATCTCATAATTGCGTCGAATTCTTCATTCTCCTCCGTTATTATACGTTTTCGATCCACCTCAGGACGAAGGTCTTTCCAAGATTTTCAGGCATACCATCCTTTGAGGTTACTATCCAAGCTGTTCAAACACTGCTAGACTTTTCTTCGTCGATATGATGGTCTAGCCCAAATCTATGTCGTTGGCTTTTCTTGGAGCTCAGTCAAATGTATTATTTCACAGACTATAATTTCTTGCTCGTCTAGCTTATTACCCTTGAAAATTCGCTCCTTTTACAGTGGTCTCGCTGACCCTTGTCTATTTGTTCATCCTTTATTCTTCCTATATTATATATGCACTCTCATACGCTGCGTTGTGTGGTTTATAGTTTCCGGAAATTTACCTGTTTAAGACCAAACAATCACATTGTAATTGAATCTTGATAGAAGGCTTTCTGTTTCAAATAGAAGGCAGTTTCCCAGATATTAACAAGCTCAAAGTGCCTTCAGGTAAAATTTGAACTTAAGGCAGATTCGGCAAATCCTTTTATACAAAGTTCGAAAGTAGGCAGGTATGAGAGGAGTCCCCTCTGCTGTGTGCAATGTTTCTTGATTGAATGTCGCGTTAAATACGAAATGGCGATGCCACGACTGCCACGGTAGTCTACAACATTTGTACAGACTCTCTAACGTACTTGAAGATATCGTTATGCCATTGGACATGTTAGAAACTGTAGCTTTGACGTTTCTACCACTGAAACAAAAATATCGTGATTTGTAGCCGTGGATTATTTTAACGACAGCATGATGGATGGCAGTGAGCAAAAACTAGACTTTCCACGGCTTTGCGCTTGACACCAAAGATGTTGCGGGGAACTCAGTGGAAGTTCTCTACTTTGAGTATACCTTGAGGACTGATCAGCGACAAGATTCGACATTAACTGGCTTTAGAAGCCATCGAGAGGCTAAGCGAACTCTGAAACAGCGAAGGTATCAGTCAGAGCACAACGCTGAGGTGTGGAGGTGGCAGAACTTAGCCAAACTGACAACAGAAAGTTTGGAACACGGCAATGGAAACTAATCGGTCTATGTTAGAAAGGGGATGGTGTGAACTGGTGCCAGATGTGTCACACGACTCGCAAGACCGAACATGGGATTTGAAATGGAATTGATTGATTGGATTCAATTATGATGGTGGTGCCATTCCCCACGAATGGAATAACTACCCACCGTGCGATGCATACACTAAGCTTAAAGTCCCCCAAGACCTAGAAATGAGACGACAAAATCTCGCAAGAACTGGCATGGCAGACAAATACTGAAAACTGGGCAGGCATTTATTCGAAACAAG